CAAATAGGCTGCCACGGCGCGTGATGTTTGCCGAGGCAAGTAGTGAGTTGAATCAAGCTAAGAGCGGTCAAAACAAGACGTACCGTGGCGGTATAGAAACTTTTACCAGGAAACTCGGCCACATAAGTCGCGTTAGGCCCCCTGCCTGGGGACCTCAGGATGATTGTAACCGATGGTTAGGAACAATGAGTGATATGGCTGTGTCATAAACAATGGCGTTTGTGTATCTTCTCAATTTCTTTGCAAACCTAGTCCAATGAACTTCTCCATTTTTTCTTCGAATCTATTTTCAACCTTCTTGCCTTTCTCCAACTGTTCATCCTAATGGGAAACCGAAGACAGAAACCAAAACCGGCGCACGAAAGTGCATGTTTCTTGATTGTAAAAAATGAAAACTTAACTGTTTGGTGCCGTCATATGGCTCACTGTCAGTCTCGTGACACCGCGCGTCAGATATCTATTTTAATTTATTCAGCCTTTATTGGTACGTACATATTTGGTCTGAATACTAGCACGTTTCTGAGCATTTTATCAACGGGAGAAGCTTTCCTCACGTTTGGATCTAATCATACTAGTTTTTGGTCTTAGACGTTTTCGGCAGTTGTGGTTGCGTAGTGGAAACAGATTTATCAACCCGTATTATTTACAGGGAACGTTTTCTTTTGGTTGAAAACCATTGATGTGTGTAAACATGTATTAGAGTGAATGAAACTAGCCGACTCAGTCGCTTTAATCTTACTTTTATGCGATTATACCTGCGTGAGGATAAGTTCGTTTCTTTGATGCCTCCACTTGAAGCTATCCATGCGTTGCGATTTGTGGCGAGTTCCACGCACCAGGAAATCCAGTTGTTGGGCCAGTCACGTGCTCTTAAAATCAACTGGGTACCCAGACTATTTACATCACATTTGATTGTACTACCTCATCTTTAACTGACCTCCGAGGCGACATTTCCAACTCACACAATGCATCGGCGATAGAATTTTCCTTGATCTCATTTTGTGACCGGCAAAGGATATGACCGAACCACTGCAGGCATGGTTGGAGAAGTGAGAATGGTTGTGTTTTCACAATACTGATGGACGAAGAAGTTTGATACGTGGTCACACCATTTGATTTTGGCCTTGTATCGGAGGTACCTGTGATCGAAACTCTGCAGTGTTTTTGTCATCAACTCTTGGCGGTTTTGCAAGCGTGTATAACGACGGGCCGAACGGCGACTTGTTAAACGCGCAATTTTATGTAGAGAATCATTTCGCCACTCATTGGCAAGGGTTAGCAAAGTTTTAGAAATGCACTCTTCGCGCAGTCGATAGGAAGCTGGACTTCATCTCTGATCTAGCCATTTGGTTGGATGGTAGATTTTAGATACTTGAAGTGGTAGCCGTGTTCTGATGTTTCACCCTTGATGTGGGTAGGCCGCGACGGGTCTAGTGACGTTATAAAGAACTTAGCTTCGTTATACAACACTGAGCGTATTAGCCGTGCTTCTCAGGCATCGTGTCAGTAGGCAATTCGTTCCAATGTCGGTGTCCATTGACAGAGTCGAGTGCCGTTCGAAAATCAACGAAGCAAGCTGAGGTAAGCTGTTCGGACTTATGGCGATAATATATGATCCGTCATGGTGTCAAGATTTAGCCAATGCAACTCTGCCCTCTCTTTCACATACAAAAACACAGTCGCTTGGGTGTCTTTTTTCACGTTCAATAACAAAGCAGTTGTGAAATCCTTGGCTGCCCTGTCGATAAGGCTGATACGCCTGTAGTTCGCGCAGATGGTTTTATCGCTCATTTGGGAATATTAAGCAGAATCGATGTTTTCCAGTATTTTAGGGTAAATTTGGGCACCCTAAAAGCGGCGGAATAGTATGGTCGATGGGTCTAGTTGAGTTGGTAAATAAACAAAAGATTTCAGGTGGGATGCCAGGAACTTCCTGTTACTTATCACCATGATGACAATGAAGATTTTCGATGTGTTAGGTGGGTCCAAGTCGATTTTATATTGCTCTGTAGCAGTTGATAGCACCAAACAGCTCTATTCAGAGGGATTGTTCGAGCAGGTGGTTGAAACGTTCGACCCATCCCCGGAGCTTTCGTTCATTTTTCGGTATGAGGTATCTGCTGTTGCCTCGTAGTAAAGAGGGTAAGGGTTGCATCTTACCTGAGGTATTGCGCACGAGTCGGAAAGGCTTCTCTAAGTCTTCAACAACTATTGATATCTCAATGGTAATCGATTCCGTAATCGTAGTGTGTGCACGGTGTCCCACCAACTACCTGCGCCTAAAAGAGTTCTCATGTTCCAACGATCTATTCGGAGAGGTGACCTGATGTGGACTACCCCATCCACTGGAGGATGTCGCTTACCGGGGACGCTGTAGCATGATCAGTGTCTACGACATTCAGGAAATCCATGAGGTTACAAGAAAATGTGGTACAAATGGCATTCCCAGCACCGTTCGGTTCTTTCTACGAAGGCTCCTCGGGAAATTTACTACCCGGCGGTCGAGACCGGGATAAGGGGATGTCTCAGGGCTCCGAGCCTTTGATCGAAAGAGCCTGTTCTGCAAACTAAAAGAGCGCGAAAGGTTTTGCAACCCTTTGGGAGCTGATGACTGGCGCTTCAGTGCTTCCAAATGAAACTTAGTTCGTATGCCTCATTTGAGATGTCTCATGAGGAGACACGAAGCAGTGACTATACTTGGTGGCAAGATTAGATTGCCATGCCACTACCATCTTCAAACTCTTGTGGCTTTTTATAAAAAATACTGGTTGCGCAAAACCCATCATGTCCTGGAGTATTGTCAATGCTTGTCCGCGACCACTTATTAAGTGAGCCTGAGTCCGCTTTATTCACCACTGACCGCCAGATTGATGATCAGTCCCCTATTCGCAACCTGGGAACGTGTCAGGCAGCATGCCATTGTGCTTTTCCTGTTCGTTAATCTCCTCCAGTGTAGGGGATTTCAGCTGATCACATAAACCTATCAATACTATTGTGTCTGGGTTGAAGATTGTCAGCTGTTTTGATCCATTAATAGTCGTCAGGTTTACTTTTATTCCAACAACACCTAACACTGCACCAGTGCAATAGCCAATGAAAGAACCCGGTGAAGATCAATGCGGGACAAAACAACAACCATGGTCTCCCGTAAAATCATATGACCGGTGGATGCTGATCAAGGTTGGTCAGTGTTCATTGGAAAACAAAAGGTCAACTTAAATCAAACCGTATAGTTATTCGTCATTCAAAACGAAACCCACCCATGCGCTTGTGACACTGACACTCGCTAAATGCAAAGGCAGTTCATATTCTTCGTTCGTTTTGTTCGTAACGGAGATCATATTGCGATACTAAGTCTTGACTGGATTTCATTTACTCTCAACTAGTACACTGTAAAAGAAATCATAGCACGCAAAAAGTGTGCACAATTTATTAGCTTATATACCCACACAAACCAGAAGCAATCGGTAAAAACGAAGACTTTCAAACGAATTAGATTCAGGATCTTCACTATCGTCGCCTAACTTGTTCCATTCGCTTGCGCCTAACTAGAGCCATTTGACTGGCGCTTTGGACTTCCTAAAACGATCCTTCAGCAGTTACGCATGAATAAAAAAGGAATTAAAAGAAAATAAAAATATTGCAACTACATACTTTATCGTAGTATAACGTGACCCCACATGTATCACAAGAACTTCTCCCGAATACGTTTTCGGTATTGTCTTCAATGGTCTGTGATGTAAATTCGGTTTTTGTAAAAGAAAGTGTCCCGTGCACATTGTTCGGGTGTGATTTACTTTATAAAAACACCAGGATAATCTGTGAAAGTGATATTGGCAGCGATCTACCATGACTATCCAATTATCATTATTTTCCAACTTCTGAATTCTATTTTTTTTATTGCACACGTGTGATAAATTCTACACGGGATAGACCCAATAGTCTTGAAGACCCGATGTTCAGTGATGGAAACCGGTGACCTAACCCCGGGATTTGGAGTGGCGAACCACATAAGGCCTCACTAAGCTAGGCATGATACTGAGCCCTTACGCTATGCTGTGGTGCATCTGTCAATTCTAATGGTTACGTGAATATACTCTTCCTAAACAGTTCATAGGGATATTAAGGTCTATGACTATCACAGCACCGGACAACGACAGTCCTCAGTCATGTCGCAACCTGTAACTGAATATTTTTGATGACTAAATATTTGATAGAATCTGATCCATGGAATACACGACGGAATTTTTGGTTTGTAAGTAATCCACAAATAATGAAACACTCTGGTGTAATTTTGGATGTGTTGGCCATTGGATGAATCTTAAAAAACGAGCTTGTTTCTCCAACTACTAAGCGCAAGTCTAACTTAGTAAGAACTTCTGATGGGTATAAAGTGGCTGTCTAAATTACTCTGGACGCGTTTTCGCGTACTTGAAGGTTAGCATATCCAAAATAATGACAAATTCCATCTTCCTAAACTCGCATTTAGCCACATGAACTTCGGGTTTCTTTTATCCTTAGGAGCAACTGCCCCTTGACCAATGTGACTAACAAGAGCATCGAAATAAATTCAATCCTTATTATAGGTATGGTACAATTTCATACACGGGAGTTCAAACAAATCACGGTGCGATGAGCCTTATAAAAAAAGTTTCGTGATTTATCCGTGGGCGTGGTACTGCTAGCTGACCCAAGAAAAAACCATGGAATTTATCTCTTTTACTGTAAACCACGTTATTTAATTTCGAAAATCCGACTTCATCTATATCCTCCGATCTTTCGGATGCGACAACTTCAAGCGGCGAATAATTCAGCATGTATAGCTCTGGTTGGCAAGAGCAAACAAACCATTACAGTATTTCAGTCCGTGTACTTTCGTGATAAGCATGTAAGGTGAAGGAATATATCAGTACCTTCAACACAAACACCTCGATAATCATTTTGAAGTTTTCTTAAAAGACCGATCAAATAATAACAAGGCGTGTATATATGCACTTTACCTTGAACCTTCCCCATCCACACTGGTTTCCATGTGACTTGAGTTGATTCGGAACAAGAGGTTTCTTTCGGCAAAGAGTTCTCCGATAATGATTCCGACTTCAGCGACTCACAATCGACACTGAAACGTGGCTCTGTGGATGAATATTTTGGAGTGTCCTCGCATTCCGAAGCGCTGGATCGCAGAAGTGTTAATGTGCCATCCCGAGCGGCACATAACAGGCCAGAAGGAAGTTCAGAGAAAAATGACTCTTGAGACCAAGCAAGACATTTGACAGATGCTGTGACAACTTCCTCAAGACGCTTTTGAAGACGCCAACTAACGGCGGAAAAGCTCTTCGACTCTTTTGTAAAAGGACGTGCCTGAAAAAAAACAGTAGGCAATGTATAATGGAAACAAAATGAAGGAGTTATACACTAGCCCTAGAGATAGCATTAATTGAGTTGAATGAAAACCAGAGTCAGCAGATTTTTCAAAAACCCCAATTTTCCTGATAGATGCACGTAGAAACATGTCAAGAAACGGACTGCAGAACTTCATCCAAAAACCCATCTGACCGAAATCGCTCTGCACACGATCGTGTCACGAAGCCAATTGGGTGAATAAACAGCAACATTACTACTGCATGTACATACACACTAGCTCATATCAGGCGCGACTGCGTAATCGGGAAGCCGAAATACCGGGTTCTCTCGAATGAGTGTCCACTAGTGTAAGCAAATTTGCTTTGACAGCTTCGGTTTTAACTCCATAACGGTGGTCATCGCAACCAGAATTTAGGCAGTGCGAAAATGCTTGTCAACGAATGATTTCAGAGACTGTGGCAGGATTCTGGTCTGGATTTAGTTCTACCTTACGTGGGTTGGAGAATGAGGGTAGTTGCAAACAGGCAATGCACCAGGAACAACTCAGAGTTTGAGACAATCAGATATTCGATCTCACTCACATGAGAGAAGTATGAGCAGCCAGACAATCCTGGAAGCTGAACGAGGTTGTTCATGTGAGAGCTAACATTGCGTGCAAAACACCAGACAATGTGCCGACAAGAGCGAAAAACCATCAGGAAATGTTATCGACTATTCCTTAGAGTACTTTCAAATGCTCATTTCGATTGCCGAGAGATAGCCGAAAAGCGGAAAGCGACCAATAGGACAATGCGCAGCATAATTGGTGCTAATTTGATGGGCAGTACATGCTTCATCCAAAATAACATGGATGCAGTCGGTACAGATGCTAATAACTATTACTTATCGAACTTGGATAATGGTACTATACTTGGTCTTAGACCACGAGTTTATGATAATTCACAAATTCTTCGACTTTTTGAGCTAAAATTTTACCAAATTGTATTGGAGGACGCTCAAAAAATAGGTGAGCTTATATGATCACTTGTTTTAAGGCACTGTTATTGCACGACTGGGAGCGAATGTGACGGCTGTGCCACGAGACAAATAAAAAAACTCACATCAGCCCACATAGGAGAAAGTGAAGACTAACCAGAAACACAGGGCTGAGTGAGTGCCTAAGGGCATTCAACATTGTGCTGTGGCCACCATGAGCTCAGCTGACCTCGGTAAATCTTATTTCATGCAGAAAGGCAGTGACAAAACAAATGGAAGTAAATTGAGTCCAATTTCAGATAACATACATACGCATATCAATTTTAACACCAAGCGAAGTTCAATCAAAGAGAAGAAACTTACTGTGGGGGTAAAAATATAGACGCCGTTGCAATTTGCCACAGCGATCTACAATATGTTTGGACATTGCAGTGTTGCTTCCATGAAAGTAAAAAATACCTTTCCATCTTGGCTGCTACATGCAACAGCTGAAATTATTCGGTTCCCCAAAATTTCTCCGGAAATTATCTGAATGCGAACAAAATACTCATTGAGTATAACGACATCACATCCACTAGCATACGCCTATCACAATAAGACATGACATTGTCTGAAACCAACCAGAAAGCTGAAATCATTGATGGTGCCCTGGGAAACATGAGTTGCATCGCCATTGCAGGAGCCAGTCAGTATTTGATGTAGTCTCATTAGCGGCTGGAGAGAACGGCCTTGAGAAAACCAAACAAGTCATACGGAGCGCCTTCAGTTCAGTTCAGTTCTCCC